AACAACCAGGGTACTGAACTTTCCATCAAACACAGCAGACAACATTTTTGCATTTAGTTTTAAAGATACAACAGCATATAAAGACTTGAAATACTAATAAACATGTATGTAATATGCATGGAAAATAATTTTGTATTTCCTTTCCCAAATAATATAAAAATAATAGAGTGTTTCCAAAATACTTTGTATTTAATTTTTAAAACATTTTTTTAAATGTGTGGACACTTGCAAGGTGTGGCTCAGCTTTGGAGGTCAGAGAACAGCTCTCAGGGTAGATTCCTTCCACAATGTAGGCTTGGAGCATCGAACTCAGATCATCAGGTTTGGCAGCAAATGCACTAATTTAACTCATCTAACCAACCCTGGTATAACATTTAAACACTCTCATTGCATTTTGCATCAATGATTTTTTTCCTATTAAAATTAATATATTTTCCACTTAAATTTTAATATATTATATGCATACCCATTTCTTTGCTCATTATCACATGAAATTTTTAGCTTAGATAATTTTCATAATTCATGAGGCAAACAATTTCAGTTCCACTTTCTATTTTTCTTCATTTTGTGATTGAAATACGCATATTTCTGAAAATCTGACAAAGACAACAAACTAGACTGTGATTTTAGGACCTCTTCCAGTGGATGTAAACTATTAGAAAGTCTTTTTCTACCTCTTTAGTTTTTTCCCAAGTTTCCTCTGGCATCATCATCTCTCTTGCAATCCCTCATCTCCATTTTCTGCCTTTGTGCAGCAGCTAACCTGCCTGTCCAAGCTGGATTTGTTTGATGTTGGTTTTGTCACTCTGATACATTTCAAAATCAAGTTTCTTTTCCCATTGAGTTTCACTTTCCTTCCTAAATCTGAAGGTTCATAATACTGAATTTTATAAACTACTTAGTAAACTAGACTATGTATTGCACATAATATAAAGTATGCATTTTAATAAAAATTCTACCCCTTTTGACCTAAAAATTAACTTTCTTCTTTTATTTCTACCTCCTTCTGGAATTAGTAATGCACAGATGTTAATGCTAACTTCTTAACTTTTGAGTTATACTTTCCCACTCCTCTCTGCTGCACTATTAGAATTTGTAACTTCTTTTTATTATTTTGCTTAATGTTTTACTGTTATTTATCACTACACAGCATTTATTTTGAATTTCAACTTTTAATTTTAGGATTTTTTTTTCATTTTTCAATTTTTATTTTATTCAAGAAATTTAAATTTTTTTTAACACTTGAAAATAAAGTTGTACAAAAGAAGCAAAATCATCATCAGTGTTGAAATATGACAAAGAATACCACAAAAGTAGTTTCTTCTTAATTTTGCTGGTGGATTCAATATAGTACAGTTAGAATTCTGAAAATATTTTCATAGAAATTGACAATGAATATAAACACATGCTGTTTGTAGAATTACTAACAATATAACGATCTCAAGTTTAACTTATAAAAGTCGAACACATACACACAGGATTAGAAACAATGTCTCCAATTTTAAAACACACTTCAAATCCTTTATGCCCCAAAACAACTGTATATACCCATGTACACCAAAATAAAGCACACAAATACATAGTTAATGGTACTATTCAAAGTAGCACAAATTGAATGCACTTTAAGTGGCTATTAATTATAGAATTGTTACAGTAATGAATGTTATAATCAGTTAATGTAGAGTTAAAATAATTGTGGAAATAATTTTATAACCTCATCATTAGTATCGAACTGCTGAGCACTGAAGCATTGTTTATTGTTCTTAGGGGAAACAGAACATGAGGTTCCTATAAGGTTATGGAGGCAATATTTAGTCACCTGAACCAAACTCGTAGTGTGTGTGTGTGTGTGTGTGTGTGTGTGTGTGTGTGTGTGTGTGTGTTGAAGGTACCTTATTCAACACATATTGTTCTTGAGCTAACATTAAGCACATGTCCTACGAGACTGCAATGCATGCCTAAATATAGTTTCACATCACAGCCTTGTAATTAGGAATAGCTATGTTTAGCATAATTCAAAACAACAACTTTGAGGCCAATAGGAAAAGAATACCAAAAAAAATCAAATTATGAGTTGGACTATACAAGTCTGATGAAAAGTCTTTGCTAGCCTGTGTCTACAAAAGACCACAAAATGCCATGAGTGCAAACTCTGAAGGTGAAAAATAATTATAAGTAGATGAATATACAAATACTGACTTCTTAGTTAAAGATAATTTACTTTAATTCATCTAAACAGCAAATTAAATATAACACAAACACCACCTACATGAAAACAGAATGAAGTTGCAAATATTGAGAATTCACAACCAGAATAAAATAATCAAGAATACACATTTCCATATACAATGTTCAAAATATGGCAATACTTATATATGGTGACAAAATGCTTATAATTATTATCTTTCAGTAGGAAGTGTTATGAAGGAGTCATAAAATATCATTATTTCAGTAATAAGTTCATATAGAGAACCCATGTGAACTGAAACCCAATTTTGTAAGTGCTAAACTTTAGAATATTTTCCATAGTCACAGTGGTATCAGAACATAACCTGTTTTGTATTTCATGAGACTTTTACATCTTCCTTGTATTTCATAGTTATAATAAACACTTAGAAAATAATACAATTTATGTGATCATTGAATAGCATTTGGTCATTTTATTATCCATAATTTCAATTAATTTTTAATTTGACATCATTGTCGGAAGGTAGAATCCTATGAATAATAAATGATGTTGGCTTTTCCCACTTTTGAATATAGCTAATAGAAAATAATGTATTCAGTAAGTGTAGGTCTCTACCTAAAATTAAATTTAAATAGCAGCTTGATTAGTTCCCTATCATACATCTAATTTTAAACTTCTGGCAAAGAGTCCTGGTACTCTCAGACTAAATGCTGATGATTTACATGGGCCTATGTTGCTGTGTGAATCAAAATAAAACTAACCTTGTCAAAATTCAGCTGCCCCAAAATATATTCAAACGAAGTGGAACATGCAACAGTTTGTTTTCACAATACCTAGGGACCATTAGATTGGATTTCAACGATAAATCTATAAGCCTGAAAGTCTAAGAATTTTCTAGTTGAGTAGCTATTCAAATTCAAGAAATCACAGTTCATTCTTATGATAGAAATTATACCACTAGACTGCATATCTATTGTGAACTGGTGTTCTTGTAAATACCAGAGTCTTGTGTTAGAAAAGATTCTATTCACTTATTTATACCCAACATATCTTACAGTAGTAATTGACCCATGAATATTAATTAGATGAGTAGATGAATGATTGGATGTGCAGACAAATGGATTAATGGATGGATTCATGTGAAAAGTTGTCAAAGACCTAATGACAAACCCTTCTTTGTATTTCTTAGTACTTTTCTTTGTTTTAACAGGAATCAAGACTAGTATAAATTCAAAACCTGTATTGGTAAGCCAGGCATGGTGGCACACGCCTTTAATCCCAGCACTTGGGAGGCAGAGGATGGCAGATCTTTGTGATTTGAGGCCAGCCTGGTCTACACAGTAAATTCCAGGACAGCTGGGGCTACAGGGAGACCCTGCCTCAAAAGAAAAAAAAAAAAAAAAAAAGAAAAAAAACCCATATTGATGACAAAATTTACCTATAAAATAAAAGATTGTTTGGATCCACTGTCTCTAAGACATTTTTATAGAAAACTGGAAAACAGGTGTACATAGTGCTTTGTGTGTAAAGATCTCCTGCAGATGCTTTACCTTCATGAATTTATTTCCACTTCAAATTAACTCTGTAAAACACATGCTGTTATTATTCCTATTGAACAATAATGCATACCTCATGGTGCTAGTTTAAGCTTCCTTTTCTGTTCTGAGAGACACGTATCTTAGCAGTCCCTGTGAAAAATCATCAGGGCAATATGTACTAGAGGTTGTTTTCTGTTTCTTTGAATGTCGGCACATTTTCTGTCTTCTTAGTATCTAATAATATATATTACTTGTAGAATTTTGTAGTATATACTGCTTTTCTTAAGACTAAATGAAATTTAGTTTTGTTCTGTATTGGTAACTAAGGGTTGTTTAATAGCTTCCAATTATAATTTTTCTGTTTGGGGACAGCATAAACAAGTCCAAAGGTAATTCATCATGCTAATTTTATGATGTGTGCAAGAATCCAATTTCTTTTAAGGCAAAAACATTTCCTTAGTCCATTAGAGGTAATGAGCATAATGAAAAGAGAGGTTTCAGAAAACGTAAATTTTTTTTA